AATATTGATGTAGACAAATACTCATGTACCCTTTACAGCTCGTTATTACCAAAGAAAAAAAAAGAAGTGAGTCAGTCACTCAATAGTGTATGACAGTGAAGTCTAGCAAGTAAAGGTTTCCTGCATAATTTGAATACTAGGTCATTGCTAACGTTTAAATTTTATAGATAGGACATACGTGACATATTCATAATTCCTGCAAAGTTCTACAGAACTTGATGCTGTCTGCAAAAGGGATACACTACCTTAAAGGGGCAGTCCATCTTGAAAATAAATTGGTTTTAATAAAAGCAGATTTTTGTTTTTACTTCATTACTTCTACTATTTTAACAATTGGTAGAATCTCTATTCGTCGTGGTAAACAAAACTTATTTTGATTAAAAGCATTTCATGTGATTTGAGAAAAATATGATAATTTACATTTATTCTAAGGATCATAACGAATTGTTAGTAAGGATTTTCTTTTAAAGTTGAATTTATTCATCAAAAACAACCATTATACGATTTCCAGATGTAGCGCGCCCTTTCACAGTAAACACTCTGTTCAAACGAAAACAGTTATTTTCATTTTCGATTTAGAAACGATATCATAATGCTTTATAAAAAAGCAAAAACATAATACTTTGGTGATAGGTTCTTTTCATGCTCTGCTCCACGTTTTTGGAATTCTCTTCCAGCCTCCATTCGTTGCATCTCTGATATTACTTTGTTTAGATCAAAATTAAAAACCTACTTAATGGAAAATGCATATTCAACCTAGTTCTTAAATTGTTACCATACCTTGTTATCTAATGTTTCATAATTTCACTTTAATTTTTTTTTTCTCTTGTCATTACTCTGTTTAGTTTTACTTGTATCATGTAAATGTCTTATGAAATGCGCTATATAAGTAAAAGTTATTATTATCATTATTATTATTATAAAAGCACTTAATTGACACGAAAGATTGAAGAAAAAAAACTTTCGTTTCAATTATTTAAAACCTTGTTTTGGCAAGACTCACATAATTATATGAATTATGGGTTTCCACAATTAACCCTCGATTGAAAATGCATATTTTAAGTTTCCATTAATCAAAGACAATTTTTTTCTGGTCACGCGATCACATTCTGGACATTTTATTGTTGAGAGGTTGGTTATGTAATATAACCGGTGTATATTGTGAGCGTTTTGAACCATGGTTGCTAAGAATTCGATTAATTCGATACAAATTTTCAAAAGGAGACTTAAAAGCTTTCTGAATAGTGACTAGGCTGTAATATTCCCAATCAAATTAAATTCGTAGTGTGACTTTATGCAACTTTGATGTTTGTGTAACTTTGTATTACTCACTCAGTTATTGTTATTTTTGTTTTTTTTCATAATATAATAATTCATCATATATCATTTTACACGGGAGCCTAAACCCTGCAAACTTTGCCGTCTAGTCGGCTCTCCTTCTCTTTCAATTTCATGTTTTGGTAATGTATCTTATTGTACAAATTGATCTATATGTAAATTAATCTGTGATTATGTAAAAATGTACCATCATTGTAATTACGAAAAATTCAAAGAGAAAAAACAGATGAATTGAATTGAATAATTATAAATCTTGAAGTCACGTGCACTGCACACAGAATTGGGAACACACATACGTGTGGCATGAACTTTTGGTCCAGTTCTTTTAGCTATTTCCTGTCATATTTCGATATTTCCAGTCATAAACATACAAATACATTGCACCTCTTAGCCAGTAAAAGTTCAATTCAATTGATAGCAGTAGTTTTCAGTGTTCAGTTCTTAACAGAGAAACAGTCAAAGAATTATTGTCATAATACAGCACTCCATAATTCTTTACAAGCTAAGATAATACATTTTCTGCTTCAATGATTTAGAATCTGGTGTCGGAAGAAAGTGTGGTAAACGATATATATATATATTCAAATTAAAACTTTATAGATTTCAACCAAACATGCGTATCAGGATAATTGTCCCCCTGGACAATACCCCCCCCCCCCCTCCCTCGGAAAATTACCCCCAAGGACAAAAACCCATGGAAAATTAACCAGACTCATTAAAGGGGAAGTCCACCCTGACAAAAAGTTGGTTTTCATAAAAGTAATTCCATGTAATATATATCAGAAGAAACACGCCGTAGCCCGTTAAGATTTGTCATTCCTGGTTATTGTCATCCTTTCTTTGGATTTTATTGTCTATGGTACTCTATAGTTTTGAAATTTGTTATACAATGTTATTAAAACAATTGAGAATGGTCCTATTTGTTTTGATTTTAATCAATCAAATTTGAATTTAATTTAATTGAACTGAACTTTAAACAAAAAATCAAGTGAGGCACATGAAGAACCTCCCCCCTTCCCAAGCCCCGACAGCCCGCCTCTAAATATTTTGTCTATATACATCCGCGCCTGGTACATAGAACTTTAGTCACCGCAATCGGTGATAAATTGGACCGTTACCATAAGCGGATAAGGGCATTGTTTTTCATTCTGGATTTCAACCAGCAAACCGGCCGGAAAACAGGCCATTTCCGATTCAAGTTCGAGTGTATTTTGTGACCTTATTGCCCTAGTTAGCGTCTTGTTTTTTTCGTAACCAAGCGATATCCAAATTCAGCTCGCCAAGGAAACCAGCGCATGCGCAAATCGTAACCGTTAGGGTTAGTAATAGGGTTATAATAATCATGCAAACCCACCTTTCATCAACCCATCGTTACCTTAATCGGTATAAGGACAGCGTAATAGAACGTTGGAGTTGTGGGTTCGAATTTCAGTATCTATTCATTTCTATGTTTTTCCTTTATAAATAGTGAGGCAAAACAATAAATAATCAAAGTCTAAATATTTGTGACCTCTTTCCAAGCTTGTGTAACTTGACACGATCGACAAGATATGGAAATGAGTTCATACTGGAATCTGGGCTCGCTTGGTACGACAAAAATAATACGCGCCCCGTTTCGACCATGTTCATGCTTCTACCTCCTCTTTCTTTCGTATTGGCCTTCCCCCCCCCCCCCCCCCTCTCTCTCTCTATCTCTCACCCTTTCTCTCTCTCTCTCTCTCTCCCTCTCTCTCTCCCCCCTCTCTCTCTCTCTCTCTCTCTCTCTCTCTCTCTCTCTCTCTCTCTCTCTCTCACTCACTACAGTGTATTTATCTCGATATTTTCCTCCCGGAGTCCCCTTTCCGTTGTACACGTCAGCCCATGGAATTCGTTAAAAATTTCGCTTTTGCGGCTGGAGAGGGGGATATAACCTATATGGATCTTTATGGGTCTAACTCATCTTTTAAATTGCTCATTATTTGTGGTTTCAATCAAAAGTAACGTAATATAAACGGCATGACATTTTTTTTATTTGTTTATAATTGAAAATGAATGATATGATTTTTGCTAGTTCCACATTCCAGTAATACAGCTGGCGATTGCGTTTTATTGCATTTTAGATCACACTATCAGTATACGGAAAGAAACCCATTAATTCCATTTACCATAAACATGTTTTCGGGGTGATTTATGACTTTAATGGCGAGAAGCACGATCATACATTTGCAGTTAGACTCCTGCGCCACCAGTTTGCATGAAGCAGTGATGAATATTTAGCTTGGCTATTGTGTAAAATGGAAACGTGCCTTCCGAACAGACTATGGCGACAAACTTGACCACTATCAAACTCTAGATGGCACTAAACCACACAGTAGCAAAACATATAAACATAATGACAGCAGAAGGAGCCGAGCTATTAAATAAAAACAGCTGTGAAAATAAATATATAAATTTATAACGTTTCACAGCGTTTCGATAAATAGTCACCTTGAAATCCTAACTCGACTGAAATTTCAGTGAGGTGAACAGGTCTGAAAATTTGCTGACCACAACAAAAATAAAAAAATAATAATATTTCATCATTTTAAAATATATACACGAAAATCTATGTGCACATGGACTGTTCATTCAGGCTACGTGCTAAACACACACACACACACACACACACACGATTTTTATTTCAATAGTTTTTTTTTTCGGATTCCAAACAATAAAAATCAATCTTAGAAATAGAATACAGTTGTTTTTCATCTTGACATGAATTCAAAACATTTTCATTACATAGATTGTACGATTGATGAAAACAAAAATGAAATCAGTTATAACATAAAACAAATCACCGCATCCAACCAAACAAACTACTACCCCCCCCCCCCCCCCCCCACCATGCGACACACACCCCACCCGACCACACTTCCACACATATACCACACACTGTTCCTAGCCTCCTCAGAATAAAGCCAAATTGGAGCGACAGACAATATAAACAATGGGTGGTATTCCGGTAGCGCGTACTAAGTTAGCGCGTACTTAGTTAGTTCACACTTTTATGAAGTGCCTGTTGCAACTAATTTACCCTGTACAGATTATTTTAATCCTTCAATGAAAAGTTTTCAAAAAATTAATTTTGCAATGAAATGGGAGGAAAAAGATAATATGAGTATGAACTGAGGGGGCGGGGGAGGGGTTCAAGTAAGGAGTTACCGATGATTGCACATTATCATTGCTAATAATACCAAACAACAATTCATGACTAAACAGTATATTGAGGGGCATCATTCTTTTTACTGCTACTTTGAATGCAAACTCTGAGTGAATCTTTCATTTGATCCAAATGCAGGGAATTCCGGGCCACTTTGTATTTATTGATAAATGTGCCGAAGCATTTTTTGAGATTGAATAGGCGAAATTTATTAGACTGTCTTGTTGGATAAGAATGTAGGTCTTTGTATATCTTTAAAAGGGCAGCTATATAGAGCAGGAGGCAATTGGCAGTGGTAAAGACGAAACATAAAGAGTGCAGTCTGTAAAAATTTGATACCAAAATTTTGAGGGTATTCAATTTAGCAAAAACAAGGGGCGATGTAATCTCTGTAGCGTACAAATACGTATTGACTTAAAAAAAAATATCTTAGAATTGAATCGTTCAGACATTTTGAATTCGCTCATATTAATACAAAAAAGTAAGTACCTGTCAGGCCTTTGTCACTCGCATAAATATATAATCCGTATTTGCCGTATTCATAAACACATTCATAAAATAACAGCGGATTGCCGCGTCATGTATGATCGATTCTTAACCCGTTAACTTCGGAACTCCCAAATTTAAAAATGGCTTAATATAGGAACCACCAGTTTCCAGTAGAGAATGGGTTAAGGGGTTTCGCCCAAGCAGTCGATCTCTCCCTCCATCTGTATTCGTCGCGTTAGGCAATATGAAATGGGCAGTTTGAGAGCGACAGAGTGGTCATCAAGCGATCCTTGACGAGCTCTTTACTCGTGTACATAGGAAGTTCCAGTGTGCGGTTATATTTGTCATTGTTGCAGCAATGGGCCACTGGACACAGATCGTCGGGGTCGTCGGGGTCGTCGACGACATCGTCCGGGATCAGTTCAACGATGGTGAGGCCGAGGTTCTCCAATCCACCGACCGGTACGCGATCAGACCCCGCCACAAATACTGCATGAAAACGAAGCACAGGCATGCATTATAATATTTGCCCATACACAAAACGTAACTATGATGTTGCTTTAAAGGGAGAGGGTCGTCAGTTTACATGTGCAGCAGGTCATAATTCGCTTACAGACTTTGTGGAAATACCATTAATGGATGTACAAATCTGCAAAAGCATACGCGTAATCCATCAAGAAATACCACCTATAGTGGGGAAAAGTGTAAGATAACGACTAATAACCATATTGGGGAATGGTTGGAAAAAGACAGAGCATCACATAAGGCATGTTATTATCATTATTATTATTATTATTATTATTATTATTATTATTATTATTATTATTATTATTATCGTTATTACCATTATTATTATAACTGTAGATGTTGTTTGTTTGTTTCGACTTTAGTTTTTATTTTTGGTTGTTGCTGGTGGTGTTGATCAGATGTCGGCAGAAAGATGTCAAAGAGTTAATCGTTAGGCAAACGGAGAGCAAGATAACAGGTGCCGGACAAAAGGGGAAGTCAATCTTCTGGTTTTTGTAGAGAGGCAGACCGGGGGTGACAACATTGCCTGCCTTTGATGGCGTAACACGAAAAATGTGTGTATGTAACATACAGTATAAAGACTCAGCCAAAGTTTCCAACTTACCTAGGAACTCCCTTTTCTGGTCATCGTCTAGAGCGTGAAAGACTTCCCAAAACATCTTGATGGTTGAATGTGAGTCTGTGTAGGGATCTTTGTACTGTGTAGACTGGAGACAATCAAATATAAAATTTAGGCCTACTCGTTTCACCTGTAAATTATCCATTTCAAACATTCTGAAGCATTCAAGTTTCATGTCTCAAAGTAATGCGTAAAGCGTATGGTTTACATTTGTTGTCGAGTATTTGAAAAGACTTGATATATCAACTTAGTGCGATCTGGACACCCTGTTATATTGCCTAAGGAAATCATGTTCGGATTACCTAATATGTGAACTTACAAATACCAAAATAATGGATAAAAATGTGCCATCAAGAGTTAAAACGATCCCCTCAACCTTAGGCATTTTAATTTGGGAAGCAACTGTTCTATATTTTGGCCTATAATTTGACAAAATGTTACCCAAGTCGAGTTAAACAAAATGCCCAACGTTGGTTGTATACATTTATTAACTTCGTGCTGTGCAAGTTTATAACCAATATTTTTAAGGGTGATTAATGGTTTAGGCAAATGGCAGATCCATGCGTTTAATTTAGGTAGCCTTTATTGACACCACATGAGACCGACGGCTCAAAATACTGACAGCCCTCATGACCGACGATGTCGGTCTTATGTCAGTCTTTTGATCTGTTGATCTCGTGAGCTGCAGTCCTGTAAAAGCGTGGTAAACGTTGGCTAACCGGCAGATAAGAGCGATATATTTCTTCCATTATATTCACTGCTTGAATTTATTAGAATTCAAGAACGGGACATCGTTCTTTTGATTAGGGTAGAATATAGAACCAAAGTATTAAAAATAATAATAATAATAATCAAGATTCAACTTCTAAAATCCATCAAACTATATAGTTGGTTGTTGTGTTCTGAAAATACATGCAGCCTGGAATAAAGATTGATGTTTATGACACTGCAGGCCTGCTATACTGCCATATATACAGCCTACCTTCTCGAGGGCGGCCCAATCGAAGTATTTCTCGCCAGTGACGAGGGCTTCTAACTCGACAGGTCTAAATATACCTAAGACTTTGGTGTCACATACTTTGTTGAACCCTTGTTGGAAGGCGGCAAATTGCGATGGAGCAAGGTAATCTCGTACCTTCTTCTTCACATACAGGTGTCTATGAGAAAAACAAGGCAGATAACATGTTAACGGTACACACAGTAATGGCTGCTACAGAGGTGCCAGGTAAAAATGTCAGAGGTAATAATGTCAGAAGTAAAAGTGTCAGAGGTAAAAATGTCAGAGGTAAAAATTCAAGTTTCTGGCCTTGATTAGGATGCTGTATTATACAATAACTCCTAAGTGGTCTCATAGGAAAGTTAAAAGTATGCCGCAGATCTGCCGCAAACTTTTATTGTGCGGCAAAGAGTATGCCGAATTATGCGGCAGAACAAACTTTGCTGCAGACTTTCTGCATACCAATATGCCGCAGGAACAGTCTGCTGCTGCAAAAAGAACTTTGCTGCAGACTCACCGAATACCAGTATATGCCACAGGAACAGTCTGCGGCCGGTGTGACCGCGCCGCTTGTCCTACCAGTTTCGTTTGTCCGTCGGACATATTATGCGGGTTTTCTGCTGGCGGTTTGCTATCCGCACAGTCTGTCCTCACATTGTTTTAAGTGCATGTATATTTGATAAAAAGAGGCAACTCGGCAAATCAATGTATTTAGACTCATTGTAAATCATGTGGTTGACATTTTTTCTAGAAATTACAAAATAATAACTCTCTACAATTTTTTTTTTAGAGCAAATGGGCCAGTCCTTTTGAAATGAGAAGTGAATATTTTATTTAAAACCTTTTTTCTATGAAGGCATACTCGTGATATCGCCCCCCCCCCCACAACTGTTGTAATCGATTATACTTTTGTAAGGGGCTTCGTTCTTCAACCAACCCACTACTAGTATATACTCGTGATACAGGCCCCGCCCCAAGTATTTGGGGGCGTTTCGAGGTTTAATGAAGGAGTAAAATGGGAGATAAAAGTGATAACAAATGGCGTTGAAAGTGAGTGGGGGAGTCTAGAGTATTTAAGATAAGGTAAAGCGTAGCACAAGTTGGCGGATGCTCAGTGGGTAGGGGCATTTAATTACGGTCACATGAGCATACTTTCATTTTTATTTCTTTCTATTTAATTTTCTTTAATATACTTTTTCAAAAGTGAGGGGGGGGGGGGGGATTTAAGCCCCCGAGCCCGCCGTTCTGCAGGACCTGACATGTAGGCCTCTAAATAGTAAATAAGCACATTTCTTGCCTGACTGTAAATTTTGATATGTGTCATTCTCTAACAAACGCATAAAAAGTATAATTTACTAAAAAGTGAGGAAAAATCCCGGAAATTATGCCATTTCAGAAACATCTGTAAATCACTGGTATCAAATTAGAACGAACAATTACTTTTAAAGTTTATTTTGGTGTGGGGGGGGGGGGGGGTTAGCAACTGGCTGAATACTTACACCTATGATGTCGAGGGGCTCTTTCTTCATTTTTTTTGTTCGGTAATAAAAAAAAAAGGTTAGTTTATGTGGGTGTCACTCAGGTGCGGATATACGGGGGGGGGGCGACGGATCCGCCTCCTCCTCTTTGAAAAAAAAGAAAGGAAAGGAAAGAAAGAGAAAGCAAAGGAAAAAGTAAAGAAAGAAGGGCTAAAAACACGAGTTAGAAGTGGCACTCACTTATCCGTATCAGGGGGAAAATACACGGGGGCTCGGGGTGAAGAGCCCCCGAAAGTCATAAAAGTAACCCCCGAATTTTTTAAAGTATTATTTTCCCTGGTCCGTATATAGGACAAGGCCCTGGGGCAGCTAGCCATACTCCGATATTTGGGTCGTTTTCCGGTCAGAACTAGCCCTAACTATCATTCCAGGATTTTGTTTCAAAACCTGAGACAAAGTTACCCAATCCCTTTGGCCCGAATTCACAAAGGAGGTTTGTCGACAAAACCTCCTTTGTGAATTCGGGCGAAACAAGTTTCAAAAAGTAGACTTCATTGACCTGTACATAGGCTAAGGAACCGGGGGGGGGGGGCTTGGGGGCGGTGCACAACCCCCCCCCCAAAAAAAAAAAATATTGGGGGGGGGGGGGCTCAGATATCATTGAGCCCCCCCCCCAAATATTTTTGGCGGGGCTTATAGATATCATTGAGCCCCCCCCCCCATATGTTGATGGGGCTCAGATATCATCAGCCCCCCAATTGTTTTTGATGGGGCTCGGATAACATCACAGAGCCTCCCGATGTTTTTGATATCATTATCATTTATCGATTGGTGCACATCATTATGCTTGATCATCCTCTCCTATCTGTTTGTTTTCATTCCTCTGTTAGTCATCCTTTATTTGCTACCTATGATATTTGAATATTCATTATTTCCTTTTATTATATAAATGAACATGTAAATACCTATATATGCAAAATAAACCCTGGAGGTTTAAAGTTGTAAAGCCCAGGGCAGTTCAACACACGCAATCATAAAATAAGGATGTCTTCATCGAGGTGTCTCTGTATTAAAGTTTAGAACCACGCCCTGTGCCTACCCGCTCAGGCCACTCTACATTCAGGGGCGTCGCTAAAGGTGGGGGGGGGGGGGGTTGAAGTCGGTTTGATTTTTTTTATTTATGTCGGTCGGCCAGCAATTTTTGCCCATTCGAATTGTGACTTTTTATCGGACAAAGAAACATTTTTGAAAATTCAGACAATGATTTAGAGTCGGTACAATGAATCGTCTTCTTTTTCTAATAATTTAATGAAACGTCGAAGCTCCCGCGCTTCGCGCGAGAGAGGGGAAATTGGATTCAGACAATTAGGGTTAAGAGTAGAGAACGGTATACAACAAATCGTCTTCTTTCTATAATAATTTAATGAAACGTCTAAGATTCGACGCTTTGCGTGGGATGGGGAAACTGAATTCAGACAAGGATTAAGAGTCAAGAACGGTACAACAAATCGTCTTCTTTTCATAATAATTTAATGAAACGTCTAAGCAACCGCGTTTCGCGACGGGAGGCCTTACACCCTTCACCTCCCCCACCTAGGGAGCGCGCTTTCCGCTCTCTTTAAGTGATTCGCATACTCAATACCGCCCCTCCCTAAAATAAGATCCTAGCTACGCGCCTGCATTAAAATATGATGCCTACTAAGTTGACGAAATAATTTGTATAGTTATGTCGTCGACGAAAATGACCATTTGCTCATAACAATTTAGACCTGGGTTTATAGGGTTAAATTTGTAGATATTGGGACATTTAATTTTGTCGGTAATTCGTGGCTTGTTTTGTCGGTAATCGTTGGCCTCTATACCCCCACCCCACTGAAAAAGGTCTAGCGACGCCCCTGACGACACATCAGGCCTATACTTGCGTTCTGTGAGAGGCTCAAGTATCCGGGCTATCTGTCTTTAGTTGAGTGAGTTTTGAAGAAAAACAAAACGAGTACTCGCTCTCCAATCGTATTGGTTTTTGGGGAATTTCGACTGTCATCAAATATGTTTTTTTCTTCCTTTTAACACAATAATTGTTTTGCGTCTCAATTCAGGCCTGACTAAATATAATCTTTTTTATAACGCAACAGACAAGTAATTTAGTCATTATACCTGATTAACATATGAAGATTTCCTACACTAGTGCCTGGCCGTGCGTGTCCCAAATTTGAACACTAAGTTGCACCTGAAATTGCAACATGTGCATTATAAGCTCCAAACGCTTTCTTTCCTACAAATATACCAACAAAAAAAATCCCAAAAGCTTGAATGCATACTATTTCACAAGATGTAATTAAACAATATGAATGATATTAATGATACACTTACATGGACATGCATTAATGCATGGTCATTTTTGCGCCTCTTGCTGCCAGCAAAAAAGTTTCCTTCTGCATTTAATGTTGTTGCTGTTATGAGTTTATATTCATATTGTTGTTATCAAACAGGAATAAATAAATGAATATATAAATACATTTTTACATTACGATTTGTACGATAGTTGTACAATGATGATAGAAGAACCAATGAAAATCCCAACTGATCTTCCCTAATTCTTTTCCCCTTTTCTTTTCTTCCTCATTGTTTTCTGTCCCTTTCTCTCCTCTTTCCCTTTCACTTCCCTTCCTTCTCTCTCTCTCTCTCTCTCTCTCTCTCTCTCTCTATCTCTCTCCCTCTCTCTTTGCTGAGGGGGAGGGGGGGGGGGGTGGGGTACAAATCGGGATAAATTGCAACTGATCTCCTTACCTTACTTGTTTGCAGGAAAATTGCAACTGATATCCCTTCTTTTATTTTCTTCTTTCGTTTCTTTCCCTTTCCGTCCTTCTCTCTTGTTTTGCGAAAGGGGGGGGGGGGCAACAGCATGGGCGGCAAAGCCCCTTCGCCCCCGATCTCCTTCTTTTCCCATTTTTCTTTTTCTTCTTCCTTTCCTCTTCTCTCTTCTATCCCTTTCCCTTCTTTTCCTTCCTTCTCTCTCTCTTTTTGTTTGCTGAGGGGCCAGGGGAGGGCAGGCGAAGGCCTTTCGCCCCTGATCCACACCGCGTTGGTGGGAAAAATCATAATTGATTTCCCGTACCTTTCTTTTCTTTCCCTTTCCCTTCTCTTCCTTTCTCTCTCTTTTAAGTTTACTGTAGAAGGGGGGGGGGGGGCAAGGGCCATTTGCGGCCCCCGATCCCCAACTTGTTGCGGGAAAACTGCAACTGATATCCCCCCTTTGTTTTTCTTCCTTTCCTTTTATCTCCTCTTTTCCCCTTTTTCTTTCCCTTCTCTTCCTTCTATCTTTCTTTTTGCTGGGGGGGGGGGGGAACAGCCTGAAAGGCAAAGCCCTTTCGCCCCCCGATCTCCTTCTTTTTCCCCTTTTGATTTTTCTTCTTCCTTTTCTCTCCTCTCTTCTTTCCCTTTCCCTTCTTTTCCTTCCTTCTTTCTCTCTCTCTTTTTGTTTGCTGAGGGGCCAGGGGAGGGCAGGCGAAGGCCTTTCGCCCCTGATCCACACCGCGTTGATGGGAAAAATCAAAATTGATTTCCTGTACCTTTCTTTTCTTTCCCTTTCCCTTCTCTTCCTTTCTCTCTCTTTTAAGTTTGCTGTAGAAGGGGGAGGCAAGGGTCATTTGCGCCCCCCGACCCCAAACTTGTTGGCAGGAAAACTGCAACTGATATCCCCCCTTTGTTTTTCTTTCCTTCCCTTTATCTCCTCATTTCCCTTTCTTCTTTCCCTTCTCCTCCTTCTCTCTTTCATTTTGCTGGGGGGAGGGGGGGGGGGGGCAGCCTGAAAGACAAAGCCCTTTCGCCCCCCGATCTCCTTCTTTCCCATTTTCTTTTCTTCTTCCTTTCCCTTTGTCTCTTCTTTACCTTTCCCTTAGTTTTCCTTCCTTCTTTCTCTCTCTCTGTCTCTCTCTCTCTTTCTCTTGCTTGGGGGGGGGGGGGGTGGCGAAGGCCTTTCGCCTCCGATCTCCTTCTTTTCCCCTTTCTTTTCTTCTTCCTCTTCTACCTTTCCCTTACTCTCCGCTTTACCTTCTCTCTCTCTCTCTATTCATGTTTTGTAGGCTGTTGGGGGGGGGGGGGGGGGGGGTCAAGGCCCTCTGCCCCCCCCCCCCCTGGATCTGCGCCGGGAAGACCTGTAGTGTCATCCCTAGATAGCTGGCAAAGCTGAATATGGGTTATCCAGTCGTTTCATTCATTTAGTATAATTATACTTGCATTGAATTTTTATACGTGTGAACTAGAGTACGGACATTCGGTGCAGCAGGCGGACTATTGGTGCGAGACCTCTTCCGCACAGATTGTCCGTCAGACATTTGAAGCGCGCACGGAATGTCCGACACGGACATTCTGCGCGGATAAAATCCGCACCGATCGTCCGCTCTCGATCGATCTCTAATAGTCTGACGATCGGTGCGGGTTACATTCTACGCGGTCACACCGGAAATCTGCCACAGAAAAGTGGGAAATTATACAGTCTGCGGCAATTAAGCTATATAATTAGGCTGCCATTTTGGAGGTCCATGCAACCATTCAAGTATACCATGATGTTTTAGGCTGTGCCCAGCGTGATCTTGTAAATTCTTGTGTTAGGCATTGGTATATGCCTTTTTATCTTCTGTCAAACCAAACAATTTGTAATTTGCCTCAAGTTCGTCTTGGTACCATGAGAGGAATTTGTTAAATAATAAGGAAATTAACAGACTGTTTCAAACTTTGTTTTTGTGCCATGTGGTCAGGATCTTATCTTCAGCCCTACTAACTAATTTGTTGTAACTCCTTTTGAATGTGTGCACAGTAGCATATGGATATGTGACTCTACTTTGGACTATGTGTCATATAGCTCCGTTTAGTCTCATTTGAGAATGCCCCCTATCGTCAGAGTCCAGCAGCCTATAAACATGTTAGGCTATGGACTTTTACCACAAAAAAAAAAATCGTTAAAAATTCCTTTTTTGTTTAAACGAAAAGCACATCCACCCCGACGTACGTTGACATTAGCTCTTTCATTGGAACCCTCATGTCCCATTGACTTTTGAAAGTTCACCCACCGTAATTTGATCAAAATAGGTCGCAAGCTCGCAATTGCGTATAAAATACATGTGTAACAAGTAGAACTTTGGACGCAATTTACCACGCGATTGTAAGATTATAGGTCAAGCACAGGAAGGATAAGAAGCAAGAATTATCATAGATCAGTTCTGCTTTGTTCATTATGTCCACTTCAGCCACCCCCACCGTAATCTCTCCATTTAGTATAGGCAAACATTTTGCCCGAGGTAAGCAAAAACATGAATATTCATGACACACCATGGACTATTCGATTATTAACAGAGGGGTGCAATTGTGCACCACATCAAACTCCCCTACTTTAAGTCAAGTATTTCATTGTATTATGTAGTTTGGTAGGTTTATTTTACTAACTGTTTAATTATCAGATATCAATGATAGTTGAAAGATATGGAAAAGGTTCTTGTATATTATATTTAGCAATTAATCTCACATACAAAATCACTATCAAGTGTCGTCTAATCCGCCGATTGCCGTCTGCTATATAGACGGCGAACTACCTATGTTTGTGCTGGCGAAAATGAGACAACCGGAGCAATACTTTCGCATTGTGTTAACCCACATTTGTAGAATGGATGAAGCAATTTTGCCTATTCTGTTTCTACTTCCAGGTGCTAGAATATAAGATTGCAATGCATGCAGCCCTCCAGCTGCCTTCCTGGAATGAGGCTGCATACTTAATTGCTACATACTTGCATGTGGAAACCTTGCCGCAGACTTGGGTGGATATGAAAGAGTATGCGGCAAGGCTGCGGCAAAGTATGCAGCAAGTATGCGGCAAATATGCAGCAGGTCATTTTATATAACATTTATTAATATTCATGATAAAGAGTAAGCGGCAAGTATCTTCAGGTCTATATAGAATATGAAATTCATAATTATCCATGATAAAGAGTATGCGGCAAGGTTGCGGCAAGCCTGCAGCAAAACTAATTTGCCTGTGAAAATGATGACTGTCTGCAGCAAGTCTGCTGCAGGTCTGATTCTTTGCTATGTACTGTTACAAGGATTTGTGCCTGCGTACGATACGAGAAGGCCATTGAAGGGAACCCAAACCTTCATACTAAGTTACTTCTATTGAAAAGTTTAAGATATTTGAATAAAATCAGTGAAAATTTGAACAAAATCGGGCAAGGAATAAGGATGTTAAAGCTTTTTGAAATGACTAGTCACTAGAGGGCTATATTCAATTTGATGACATTATTTGCGAACAACTCTCCATGCCTTTTGTACATCAAATTTCATGTTTTTCCTTCTTTCTTGTGATTGAGATAATCTACTCCCCTGAAAGCAAGGTATAGAATGCAAAATGATATTCTACTTTACATGTTATGAAGTCGGATCAAGAACACAAATAAATACGAAGAAAAAGAAAGAATTGTGAAATGTGATGTACAAAAGGCAGGGAGAGATGTCCACAAATAATGTCATCAAATTGAATATCGCCCTCTAGTGACTAGTCATTTCAAAAAGCTTTAACTTCCAAATTCCTTGCCCGATTTTGTTTAAATTTTCACAGATTTTATTCAAATATCTTAAACTTTACAATAAAAGTAACTTAGTATGAAGATTTTGGTTCCCTTTAACAGTGCCCCCTAGGTTGACTTTTCGATAGCCTTTGCGATCGCGTCTACATATATTTGTTTTGTCTTACACATTTGCTTTGGTGACCTCGTCTCTTTTTCCATTCTCTAGCTCTAGCTCTAGCTCTAGCTCGCTCAATAACTCTTCCTCTGTCGATAGTAGTTTCGACATTTGATCTGCGAAGTCTTTGTCAAGCTCTCGAATTTCCTCCATTTCCTCACCGGGGCTTAAGATCGAGAATAAAAAAAAAAAAAAAAAAAAAAAGAACAGACATGCGTTAGGGAAAGGAAATGTATTCCAGGATCTTGTCTCCAAAATAGTCTTGATTGATCCAAATCGATATCAAGTCTTCCAATCAATAAGCCAGTTGGTAAATACTATCTGATGAAGGTCATTTGTTCCCAAATACTGACCAGTATCTTGGTCACGAAAGTAATGTAAACAGTATTCATTTATTCACCGACAGTACATTTATCTGATACACAGGAGGAAGTATTCTTCTCAAGGGGCAAACGGCAAAATGTATTCTAAAGCACCTCTATCACTTCGGCAGTGATCTTTCTAAAATTTACAAGTGGGACCTACCCATCGTGTAAAAGATCTGTGGATATTTTGAGGTCATGCGTAACGAAGCTATTTACAAACTTCATGTAGTGTTCGTTGATATCTAGTTGCATTACATGCAATGCTGAATGTGTGGACAATTTATTTCAAATCGACTAATTGGTACCTGGAACAGTTTACCAGCTACAGATGGTGATATCAATCAATACATTCAGTGAATTCTTTTCAGAATCGGTATGATTAAATCATGGATGAATGCTGTATTCGTGTATGATTTTGATAAGGTATCAGAATAGGGTAACTGACTCATGTCACCCTTGGGGTGCATTTCATTCTGACTGGCCACAATCCTATCATAATGGTTGTTTTGTTCTTAATTGAATTGTCGATCTGGACTCCACTTTCTCCTTGCCACACGTAAATATGCAGTTTAATTTGATGCTAATTACTCGATAGGGTGAAGAAGCTGTATTAATTCCAAATGATCGACGACCAAGCTTTGTCTTTAAAAGCATCGTTAGATGAAATCCAAGTAAGTAGTAGATAATTAAGTAGCAATTGAATTGAAACACAACTTCTTTTTAAGATGGTAACGCTGGTTTTAAACAAACGATGGAATATTGTAGGCTGGCATAACAAGCAACATGTCAAAATAAAATGCTTGCAATTTTAGTGTAATGAAAATAATTATTGAAATAAAACAAATTCAAGTGGAAATTGAAATTGGACGAAAGTCATAAGAAAGATAAAGTGAGCTCACCTTGAATTATCAGAAGAAAGTGCTTAATTATTTAAGCATTAACCAATAACCACGACACCTCTAAAAATTATTGCATAATTTATTTTAAAAAAAACTGTTCCTACCCTTTTCCTAGGAGCTTCGCATAGAGCAGTTGTGGGAAAGCTGGCAATGGTACAAGTGCGTTGTTGAACAATGACAACCTAAACAGTAGACCACACATCATCGCTGTATCGTTGTTGGGGCATTCCTGTTATATTCAAACAATTATTATCTTGTATAAAGCAATGATTAATTTTAACATGCATTATTGCACACAAAATAATATTAATTGCATGGAATACTGTACTTAGTATTAAATCGATACTAAACTGATGGACTTCTGCCCTAGCGTATTTTTTATTGCACAGCGTCATCACTATGAACATGACGGACAGAACAGGTGTCACATGCATATTCACCTGTTTTACACATTTTTACATAATAGCAGTGAAGGGATGTTCCTTTGTCTACCATAGCAATTGTGGAGGGTAGAATGAGGAACTATATATTTTGTCCGCTTTCTTTGTCCGTCATGTTCATAGTGCATATTATGGTCAACTTACCAACAGTGCGTAACCCAATACCTAATTCCAACGAACCAACAGCGCAGAAAGAAAAGCAGCGACTTCCGGGGACAGAGGGGCGAAAAGTGTTCTAGTACAGTATGGCTTTGATAGAACGTGTTTTTTTTTTATCACGATCGCTTTAAGAATGAACTTGGGAGCATTTCCAATCCCTATCATATTGCCTCTACTAATCATGCTCAGATTATGTTATAATTATGTAATCTGGTAGCACAAGGCTATTGAATCTACCTAGCGTTGGTTTTCGAAATTCTGATTCAATGTAGGCGAAGGTTTTTCATTAAATTCATAAAGCTATAGTTCAAATATCATAAAAAAGGAAGCCCAAATCTTTCTATTCGATTGTTTTCACATGTAAACAAATGTATGTCGTCTGTCTGTGACTTAGTCTTCTTATTTTACTTTTTATCGAATCCAAGGCTAAAATATATTTTGCGCTGACCAATTTTCGCTATTTTTTCGAAATTAGCTAGTGCACACTCAAGCGTTGACTATGTTCAATTCTTTTAGTGCCATACGATTTAATATATCGTCAATCAGAATTTCATAAGCAAAATTTATGCAGAAGCATATACAATTTTAGAGGATATTTTCAAAGTGTGTATTTTTTTTTATACGCACAGTACACTGCAAAAAAAGGGTTGTTATATAATACACACCCGTGTACGATCTAAAATGTGTAGTGTCAAGTTATAGCTTCTCAGCCAATATGATGCTCTCGAACAAATATCCTATTTTATGTTAAGGGTCAAGTACCTGTCTTGACAAACCCGCTGACAATGAGTTGGGATATATTAATGTTTATAAGATGATGACGTGGATCCTAATCAAATGATTGGTTGAGAGCGTACACGTGATCAGGCATTTATTTCGCCTAACGCATAATTGGATAATGACCGGTCATTATCAAAATCATGTTATAAAACATCATTTTATAAAACAAATAAAACATTATCTTATAAAACAAATAATACACATAATTTTGTTCGGGCATTAGTAAAAATTACCAACACTAGGTACCTTCAAAACAGTCCAAACACCCTCGGATATCGCCTTGGGCGTGTTAGACTATTCCAAAGGTACCTCGTGGGGTTTATTCTTACTAATGCCCTCACCGCTGGGTATTATTTGTTTAATGTCGTTCAACAAAAAAAAAAAACAAACAATAACAACAAAACATACATTACCTCTCTGAACCAGACTTGTGACTGGGTAGGGTCATGCTCGTTGATATATCGGAAAAGGACGTTCTTTTCTGGGTCCAGAAGTTCGTCGAACACGAGCCGGAAAAATACCTAAAGTTTAAGCAAAGAAATCAAAGTATACAAAGCAAAGTCGTTTTTTTGCGGAAGAAGAAAAAATATGAATTTCATAATTATATAACACTTTTGTATATGATTGAGACATCTCCTTTTATACTAATTTTTGTTGTTGTTTCTGTTGACTTTAAACTTTCGGAATATCATGTGGAGGAATTTCATTTGTGTTAATGTTTTATTTTTAGGCAAGATACTGTCACCTTTCATTTATCGAAATAGAATCCGAAAAAAGGGGATTATGTCAAAAACATAATTGAAATTTTACATGAGAGTAGACTGTGCGATGTAAAGGGACGAAAATGTTCTTCATAATAATGATTACGATAATGACATTAGCAACAATATCAATACTACTACTACTACTAATAATGATAATGATGATAATTCCCCCTGCAGTGCAATACCTATTACTCTACCTATTGCCAGGCACCCATTTAGACCTGGGTGGAGAGTGGCAAAATAATGTGGATTAATGTCTTGCCAAAGGAAGAAAGTACTGAGCTGAGATTCGAACCCCCAACCATTGGTCAAGTAAATGAACCACTTCACCAAGATGCCTCCTCATTGTCTCACACACACTTTATTATGTGAATATACTCATCTTTGCTGTGGTGGACTAATGCCAATATAATAATATACCACAAAGCAGTTGAGTATCTGAGCTACATAATCGATTATATTATTAACCACCTTATTATTATCATTTTGTAATTATCATTATCATTTGTAATGTTGTTATTGTCATCATTATTATTATAAATATTATTATCATCTTTAATCACTTAACATACAAATTATTAACCGTACTAAACTATGACCATATTAATGTCTTACAGAACTAATACGTTTGAAATACCAATCAATTACCATACCGATCCCTTATCACACATATATCTTACAACACCTTTAGTGTACTAATCCTTCATCACATTATTATTTACACGTACTTACCCAGTACTAAACTAACCCCTTACCATATTAATCCAAAACCACGATAATATTTCACCATATTATCTTCTACATTAATCCCTTACCACACTAATCTCTCACAATACTAACATCTTGACATAATATGCCATAACCATACTAAAAACATTTCACACCATTCCCTTACAAACTAGTCTTCTACCATGAGTATCCCTCAGGATATTTGTTTTTACCACACTAATGTATGACCACATCCAATCTTTTACTACAATTATCCTTTATCACACTATTATTTACTATATTAAATCTGTTATCCTACTAATTACTTACTATACTCAGTGCTCCCTCGTCAACACCCCTTTCCCCTTCAAAGATAACCCTGAGAGGTTTCTGAAGGGCACACTTGGGGAGCCTCAACATCTCCGAGAGTCGCTCCCGGACACTCCTTCCGAAGATGTCGTCCCGCTTTACGACGAGCTCAAGGCGTGGATTAGGCATGAAAGGGATGCGTAGGGGGGAAGGGATGAACCGATTGTTGAAGCGTAGTTTGCACAGCGTTTCCATCGCTTCCCTTGCCGTTTTCATGGCAATCTAATAAGTTTTAAAATTGTTCAAAGATAATAATTGTAAAGTTAAAGTTCAGTTCTGTTCTTATAGTTCAAGTGTGAGATAGACTGTGTGGATATTATTGGAAATTACCTTTATCCTTATTCTTATTGTTAGTGTAATTTTATTATTATAATAATCTGTATTATCTAAATCGAAGTCGAAATACCTACTGATATGTGCCCGACACTTTAATTGTGTTCATTGACGCATACCTCTTGCTGTGTCTTGTGACTGTATTTCAACAGTTTTGCCTTTTCTTTCAGATCAATGATGAATGGATAAGACATGGATGATCCCTGCAACTGGACGAGAAAAAAAAAGCGGGATGAGAGTACCGAAGTGTGACGTCATACTACCCATGTTGTCAAGGTTGCTAGCTCCATACTCATGTTTGCTATACAGTGGCGTGGTGGTCACAGCAGCGCCAACCCCCCCCCCTTCTCCAGCTCGTTGCTTGAATTATTTCGCGCGGTCGTTTAAAACATTTACTGTGTAAACCATTTACGAAATAAACATGAGGCAAAGGTAAAAGCAAAATTAACAATCCAATCAGCGGAATTAAACAGAAGCTAGAGAAAATGTAAAACAGGAAAGAGCCAGATGGAGCTTTAAAAAAAAGATAGCACGAAATATGAATGTGATTTGTCTGGAAAAATGTTCTCATTCCTTTTTTGTTTTTTTGTTCAGCATATACTTAGTAGATATGATAAGCTTTGGTAGATTTAAATAAGCAGTAACAAAAACAAATGATAATACCCGATTCCGTGATAATAGACGCTTGCATTGGCGGATCTAGGGGGGCTGGGTGCAGGACCCCCTGGCCCCCCAAACAGGTAAATTCAACCTTTTTTAAATAAAAAAGAAGACGGGCCTGCTTCCGATCGCTGGCGCAAGGGGAAGGGGGGGGGGGGTGGTTGTTGATTCGGCGCTAAATATTTTCTCACGAATTTGGAAGAAGAAACAAAAATAAGTGCTAATACATAATTCAGCACATATCTATGGCGTAAAATCAGAAGAATTTTTTTTCTAGTATTTCCAAAATAAGTCTTACCGTCCATCCAGGCTGCATGAAGCGATCCAATTCATCTTTTAGGTTGTCGAATTTCAGATTAGTAATGTAGAACGTCTTAATAGAAACGAGGTCATGCTGGATATTTATCTGAAGCAAAGTTGGAAAAACTAAATATAAAAATTGTCTTAAAGATAAACATCAGTTATGGTCATGCGATTGCATTGTGAAAGAAACGTTGTGGAATCGATCCCAAAAGTTTGATCATTCAGCGTATAAGGTATTGGTGTATACTGCAAGGTTCTGGAATCATCAAAGTGATAAGAAAGTTGGCCCAGTCTTGGCAAAATTACAAGCACTGTACACGAAAAGATGTATATGGGACGTCGCGACACGTGCGCGTCACGTGCGCGATATCTATCAGGTCCAAATAGATATAATATTTTACCAAATACACACTGTATAAGGTTTCTCGGCAAAATTGATATCATTTCGTATCAGTCAAAACGTATTCTTTCACATGATTGGTAATAAGAGCTTCCATTTCATTTTTTGAGAGGGGGGCGTTTCCAAATTCTATTTAGAGAGTTGTACACTAGTACCACTACACCACAGTGATATTGCTGATTGGGCCATTTTAAAATTCCCAAGTGTATAGTGACTACAACTTCCAAAGATTTATAAATGTTGTATTGCTTGTGTGCTTCTGCTAAAATAATCGTGGTTGACCACGGGAGCACTACGGAAATGTGCCCCCCCCAAAAAAAAGTATGGATAAGAAGCCAAAGAGCGAAATGGGCTTTTTTTAAAATAATCATTTCATTTTATTTTGTTTGCGTGCCAAACGCACACACCTAATGACCTTTGGCTTATCATAGAATATTCTGACTTGTGCACTCTCCCTATTCTTCTCCGCCGAAGAGTCCTGGATACGCCATCATGGTTGCTGTCCATTGTAGAGGTATTTACCTGGTTGAGACATTGCAGTACTTTTAAATAGGTCCCGAAGTCGTCCTTATCAGAAACCGAAAATTGTTTGACAGCTTCCCGATAGGCTACGACTGTCTCGCGAAATGCCGCGGGTTCGAATTTCCACCAGCTGACCAGTCGGCTCAAATGATTTCCATCGCCAGAATCTCCGCATGAAGTTTAGATAAATGATGGCAAAATTAATCTTCCTGGGCATTTCTTCATGAATTAGTCATCATTACATTCTATTGAAATGAGTGTCAATTTTCATACACGCTTTTTAATTGGATTTTCCGCGAACTTGTACTTTTGACGGTTTCGTAAAATGACGCCCACTGTCAATTCAATGAAATCTAAATGGATCGCTTTGATTTTCAATTTTAATTAAAAAATGCACGCATAATGATTATGAGTGATCAAAAATAATGATGAAATTAGAATGGAAACCCTATTTCTATTTACATTTTTATTTTGTAAAGATGAAACGTTCTTTAGGTTAAGATAGACGTGAAAAAAAAAAAAACACTACTTGGCATTTCATAAGGCTAATAAAATTAGTTCTTAGGTCCTTTTTTTTAACCAAATAACGATTTTTAGCCTTAATCAGGGTTTTTAATTTTTCCATTCCTAAGCTGTTTTTTATATTACTTGTTTAAAAAAAAAGCTAAAACAAAACAAAATAATTCTTTGCTGTACAATATGTTCTCGGAAGTATAAAAAAAATACATGATCAGAACTAAGTTAGTTTTTAAAGGTGAAGTGTATTTGGAAGTATTTTCGTTCCATAGTTATCCTTACCATTTATCAGCAACCTGCCTATAGCGGTCAAGACCTTCCGGCACCACTCAAATTGAGGATACCTGAAAACAGGGCACTCCAGAAGGATGAGGTAGAAACGAAGATCCTCGTCACACCAATGCTCAAGTTGAATGTTTCTGCACAGGACTTTCGATATCTATAAATTAATTACATGTTCTACAAATGGTGATCCGCCATTTTGATCTGGTGTCAATAGATCGTTTTCGTAATGTCATTAAGGTTAAACAGGTGAATGAAATAATTTGTTACATGGCAATTAACAAAAATGTATGCATTCAATTTGATTACATTATTAAAATGGTCTATAACTCCGATTTTTATAGTGTCAAAGTTACAGAGTTATAGGGTAAAGGTTGCAATGTATTTGTTTTGCTATGTTTAAGGTTAGGTTTATGGTTAGTTACTAGGTATAGTGTCGGGACTTGGGTTGAAGTTTTAAGTATGGGAATTGAGGCGGAGCAATACTTGTCTCAGGAGGAAGGGTCGTACAACAACCACGATGGAAGTTCTCAGTGCATATTTTAGAGAGAGGGTGAGAACAAAGAGCAGAGAGAAAGAGCATAAGAGGGGATAGAGAGGAAACACAGAGTTACGGAGAGAGGAGCAAACGAGGGAGAGAGATGAGAAGAAAAAAGAA